CTTCTCCCTTCCTTCGTTCCTTCTTACTTTCTTCTTCTTCTCCCTCCTTCCTTCCACTTCTTCTTCTTTCCCTCCTTCCTTCCTTCCTTCTTCCTCCTTCTTCTTCGTATTCCTTCCTTCCTTCCTTCCTTCCTTTCCTTCCTTCCTTCCTTCCTTCCTTCCTTCCTTCTTCCTTCCTCCTTCCTTCTTGCCTTCTTCCTTCCTTCCTTCGCTTCCTTCCTTCCTTTCCTTCCTCCTTCTTTCCTTCCTGTCCTTCCCTCTTTCCTGGGGCCCTGGAGCCTTTCCTGTAAGGTGGTGGCGGAGAACACCCAGTTAGAGCAGCTATAAGACACATTAATGAAAAGTAGCGGAGAGAGAGAGCAGAGTGAAAGTGTAAAGACAGCAGACAGAGAGAAGAAAAAAAAAGATTTATGCCGACTTGGCCGCGCAGAGAGATCCAACGATGGCAGGACTTCGGACGAGTACAAGCTAGAAGAAGCAAGAGAGGAACAAGAGAAAGAGAGAGAAACAGCAGAGAGTGCACAGGAGAGAGAGAGAAGCGGCAAAGAGACACTCTGACGCAGAGGTGAGAGTAGGGGAATTGAATTACTATTCGCACTGCATGAGGAGGAGCGAGGATGGATACGCATGTTGATAGTTAGATGTATGAGAGGAGGAAAGAAAGAGAGAGAGAGAGAGAGAGAGAGAGAAGAGAAACGACCGAGAGAGACGCACCACGAGAGGCAGCGAGAGAAGAAAGCACCGAAAGAAAAGCAGAGAGACGAGAGAGAGAGAGCAGAGAGGATGCTGAAAAGGAAGTGATGGGAGAAAATACTGGGAATCTCGAGGGAGAAGAAGAGAGAGAAGAAGAGGCAGAGCAGAGATACGCTTATGGTGTGGAAGATAGGAGAGAGAGGGAACGAGAAGAATAATTAGTAGAAAGAAAACGGTTTGAAATGTCTCTTTTGCCATTCTTTGTACCGTTCATGCTTTCTTTCTGTTTTCCCATTTGTTCTCATCTAGTCTCTCTCTCTCTAACTCTGCCCGCTCTTTCCTCTCCCTCTCTCTCTATCTTATCTGTCCTATCTATCTTTCTTCTCCTCTCATCGCCCTGCTCCCTCTTTACCTCTCGCCCCTCCATTCCTCCCTCTCCTTCCTCCCTTCCGCCTCTCCTCTCCTCCCTCCCTCTCGACTTCTCCTCCTTCCTCTCCATCCCGTCTCCTCACGTCCCTCGATTTTTATTTACCTCTTTTTAAACCCTCAGAGAGCGCTCCGCTTTTTCCAGTCACCTTTCCTCCTCTTGTTTATGATGAAGTTGAAGCGGTCTCTCAGAGATTAGCATTTAGCATTCAAAACAAGGTATAGCACGAGTTGGCGGTCTGTCTGTCTGTCTCTCATCTGGGTGTGGAGTGTGTGGAGCGTTTTAGAAGGGTGTTTTGTGTGTGGGTGTCCTTTTTGTGGGTACGGAGTAGTTTGCGTGTGCGTCGTGCTTGTGTGTGGTAGTGTTTGTTTTCTTGTATGAGTGCGTTTATGTTTGCCTTTTGTGGTCTGCTTGTGTGTGTTGCAATTTTTTGTATGTGTTTTAAATGTTGCACAATTTTATGTTTTTGTGTGTGTGGTAGGGTAATTATTATGGGGTGTTTGGTGGAAAGAAGGAGGCTTTTTTATTTGGACTTTTTTGTATTTCCTTTGTGGGTGTGTGCTTTGTTTTTCTATCTTTCTATGTGTGTCCAGATAGATGTAGATGTGTGTGGCGGGTTGTGTATATGGATATGTGGATTGGTTGTTTGTCTAAGTGAGAGAAAGAGAGAGAGAGAGAGAGAGAGAGAGAGAGAAGGAGAGAGAGAGAGAGAGAGAGAAAGGGAGAGAGAGAGAAATATAAGAGATAATGGAAGGGAAAGGAGATAAAGAGAGAGAGCGAGAGAGAGAGAGAACAAGAAGATGGCAGAAAAAAAAAAGAGAGACAGAAAGAAGATAGGTGTACGAAAGAAAAAATAAATAAGAAAACACAAAAATAAAAAAAACGAGAGAGAGACCCGAAAAGAAATAACAGAAAAAAATAAAAATAAAAAATAAGTTAGAAGAAAAATATTTTATAAATAAATAAATTAGAAGAAAATATTTAAAAAATAAATAGATTAGAAAAAAAATACATTAAAAGGAGAGAGAGCGAAAGAGAGCGAGCTCCCGCGCGCGCAAGAGCCAGAGCAGCTGATCCTCCGCTCTCCCCGCCGCCTCCTCCGCGCTCAAGACCAACCGAAGGCGTCCATCTCCGTCGCACTTCTTGGCCTCGGCTGACAACTTCGACACTTTCTGCGGCGAAGTTGGCGGCCGTACCTCGAACTTCTTAATGAAATCGGCGCTTTTTCCGGGATCTTAACACGGGGGGGAGGGGAGGGGTTGTTATCCGTACGCCCCCCCGCAGCGTGGGTGGGCGGGGTGGCTCTGTCGCTGCGGGTCGACTGTGGGTTATGAAGAGGGGGAATGTGCGGGATTCGAAGAATGTAGTTTTTGTTTTCACTTTTTTGTGAGAAACTACACACGTTTTTTTTCTCTCTCTCTCTCCTCTTCTCTCTCTTTCTCTCTCTCACCTCTCTCTCCCTCTCTCTTTCTTCTCTCTCTTCTATCTCATCTTCTCTTTTCTCTCCTTCTCCTCTCTCCCTCCTGCCCCCTCTCTCTCTCTCTTCTCTCATCTCTCTCTCTCTCTCTCTCTCTCTCTCTCTCTCTCTCTCTCTCTCTCTCTCTCTCTCTCTCTCTCTCTCTCTCTCTCTCTATCTCTCTCTCTCTCTCTCTCTCTCTCTCTCTCTCTCTCTCTCTCTCTCTCTCTCTCTCTCTTCCTCTCTCCTTATTAAATGATTACTATAATTTCATCATTTTCTTTGGTAAGAGAAATTAGCCTCCTTTTTTTAGACCGTATGTAATTTGTTTATTTGCCAGAGTGTGACGTCGTGGTTGGTTAATTCAGGTACAAACGCCATAGATTCTTTGTAAATAGTTTCATGGCTTTTTCTCAAAACTTATTGATGAAAAACAAATGAGCCAACACATTTTTCCGTCATGAAAGTGCGGGACGGATCATATGCAAATTGCTTTTTAAAACGAGTTTAAAATACGCCTTTTCAAAAAAATGTTTTGTTTATTCAGTAGAAAATAATGCTAGTATATTTTTGACGGCAGTAAACTTTTGATATTGCAAAAGGTGAATATTAATGCAGAACATTTTAAAATCATCAGCAAAATCAGTCGATGAAACTCTACGCACTGACCCGCCACATTTCACTAATTATTGACTCCCGAAGTAAAATGAAAAAATATATATTTTTCGATTAGTGATGAATAAAGGATCAGCATGGCAATGAAAAGCCCTCGTGTCTGGTTACGCAGCGCCATTGCAACAGCAGGATCGGTTATTGTTGTTTTCATCTTTTATTTCAAGCTTATTGCTTGTGTAGGTAATGTTCTGTTCTCACGTCTTCTTATTTTTCTCTGATATAACTTAAGTCCGGATTTTAAAAATTCCCCGTTCATCTCCCTCCATCTCTAATCTCTCTCTCTCTCTCTCTCTCTTCTGTTCTCACCTCTCTCTCTCTCTGCTCTCCTCTCATCTGTCTCTCTCTCTCTCTCCTGTCGCCTCTCCTGTCTTCTCTCTCGAAGATCTACTGTCAATCTCTGCTGTCTCTCTCGTGCTGTGTTCAAGTGCCTGTCTCTCGATCTATCTCGTCTCATCTCGTCGTGTCTCCTCTCTCGGTGTCTCGTCATCGTCAGCTCAGCGAAGCAGCGTCTGTCTCTCTCTCGGACGTCCTCCCAGTCTCTCGTATCTTCGTCCGTCGACCCATACCCGCGACTCCCGCACTCTCTCTCTGTTCTCTCTCTCTGCTCTTCTCCTCCTCTCCTCTCTCTCTCTCTCTCTCTCTCTCTCTCCTCTCCTCGTTGTCTGTCTGAATCTGTCTGTCTGTCTGTCTCTCTCTCTCTCTCTCTCTCTCTCTCTCTCTCTCCCTCTCTCTTCTTCGTCCGCAGTCGGACGGATCTCTCAACTCTTCATCCTCATCGTCCTCTTCTCTGTCTCACCCATTCATCGTAACTCTCTACGTCAGAGTCAGTCATGCCACGTCGGGATCAAGCATCCCGTGGCCGCGCTCATACATCCTCTCCAGAGAACCTGCAAGATTCCGGACAGACGACCAAGTCCTCCTCTCTGCCGAGCACTCGCACGCACGGTGGAGGAAGAGCATCCCAGTGAGTGAGTCCCGTCAGAGAGGCCAGAGACGGTTCAATCTCTCTCGGCGCTCGGGAACGGATTCGACTCAGATGCGCCTCCAGGAGTCTCGTCGAGACCTGAAGTCTGCATCGCGTCTCTGTCTCTCCTCTGTCTCTCTCTCTCGTGCTCTCTGTCTCTCTCGTATCAGTACTCTGCTCCTCTCTGCGTGGGTTCTGCTCATCTCTCTCGACGTAATGATCGTCTCTCCTCGACTCCTGCTCATCTGCAGGGAGTCATCCTCACAGCGGGTTCGTCAGTCAGTCAAGACTCGATCTCTCTGAGGCGACTACGGATCCAATCTCGGTCACAATGCTCGATCGTCTGCATCCACCGCTCTCTCTCCGCTCTCTCTCTCTCTCTCTCTCTCTCCATCCCCCAATCGCATGCTTTCCCTCCCCCATCCAACCCTTGCCTCCCCTCTCATTCCACCTCCTCTACCCCCCCCCATCCCAACCTTTTCTACCCCCTCCGACTTCCCAACCCCCCAGTCCCCCTCTCCGCCCCCCATCAGCCAAGCTCTTGCCCCCCCCCCTCACCCTCCTCTCCTCCCCCTCTCCCTCGTCTCAAACTACCACCATCCCTTTCTTCTCCCTCCCTTCTCCATCTCCACCCCCTCTCCCTCCCTCACCACCCCTCTCGTTCCCTTCACCACCCTCTGCCCTTCCTCGCCTACCCCCTCCCCTCCCTTCCCCACCCCCCAATCCTCTCCCAATCCCAACTTCCCATACCACCCCACTAATCTCCCCCTTCTTTCTCCCAACAGACAACGGGCAGTACATGGCCTTCGGTCCCTCTGGCTCCCTCACGAGGTCCGTGATGGTGGGCGGCGACGGTGGTGGCGTGGCTCAACCAGGGGCAGCGGCGAGGGCGTGGCGTCCGACTACTACCTCGGGCGAAGGCACAGTGCCAGGCGGGAGAGGCGCCTGCCCCCGACGACAAGATCAGGGTGAGTTGCGGGCGCGATGGAGGGGTGGGGAGGGGTTGGGGGTCGGGGATGGTGTGGGTTGAGAAGGGGTGGGATGGGGGGTTGATAGTGATTGTTTTTTGTTTTTTTTTTAGCTTGTCTGTGCTTGTGTAGTCGTTGTTTGTGTGTAAGGTTTGTGTGTATGTGAGTGTGAGGTATGTGTAAGTGTGAGTTGTGTGATCAATGTGAGTGTATGAGTGTGAGCGTGTGAGTGTGTATGAGCATGTGAGTTGCATATAGCATCTGATAGTGTGTGTAATGGTAATAATATAAAGCAATGTGAGTGTGGTGTGTTTGTGTGTGTGTGTTGTGTGTTGATGTGTGTGTGTGTGTGTGTGTGTGTGGTGTGTGTGTGTGGTGTGTGTGTGTGTGTGTATACTGTATGTGTTTGTGTGTGTTGTGTGTCTTGTCTGTGTGTGTGTGTGTGTGTGTGTCTGTGTGTGTGTTTCCTGTCTGTGTGTGTGTGTTCCTGTCTGTGTATACCCTTGTTGTTTCTGACTGTGTACCATTTATCGTGCATGTGTGTGTGTGTGTTTTCTTGAGCATATGTAAGCGTTTAGGGATTTGCAAATCTTCAAATCGCTGTCTACTGCATCCACCTTTAGTTAGCGTGCGCCGCGTGTGGAGCTGTTTAATGTTTAAGTAGCTGGCATTCGAGTGTGAAGGTAAGAAGCTTTGCTCGGGGATCGGGGCTTGAAAAAAAAGCTCAAGGGCGAGCTCTGGGACGCAGCTACGGAGGAGGCGGAGGAGGAGGCGGAAGGAGGAGGAGGAGGAGGAGAGGAGGAGAGAAGGAGGAGAGAAGGAGGAGGAGAGGAGGAGAGCAAGCGAGGAGGAAGGAGGAGAGGAGGAGGAGGAGGAGGAGGAGGAAGGAGGAGGCGGAGGAAAGGGGAGGGGAGGCGGAGGAGGAGAGAGCAAAAAGAAGGAGGAGGAGGAGGAGGAGAACGCCCGTGAAGGATCCCTCGCCCAACACTCCATATAGGAAAAAAAATCTCTATATTAATCCACCTTTTAAAAATCCTCCCATTTTATAAAAGAAATATGAATCCCTTTTTATTGATCCCCCCCCCCTCCTCCAACAGGGCAGAGGCAAACGTGCGCCTCCTGGTTTATAAAATCCACCATTATTATTCCAGTCGCCAATTTATAAACAAACGCCTGTAAATCCCCCTCTTATATTAACCTCCCTCCTCCTCCTCCTCCTCCTCCTCCTCCTCCAACAGGGCAGCAGCAACAACGTGCGCCTCCTGCTTCATTATTCCAGTCGCCAATTTTATAAACAAACGCCCACAAATCCCCCCCTTATATTAACCCCCCCCCCCTCCTCCAAAACAGGCAGCAGCAACAACTGCGCCCTCCTGAAACGCGGCGCTCATCAACGACTTCACGATGCTGACGTTCCAGCGGCCTCTGCGCGCCGTCGACACCTCCGACACGGGCATCCTCACCAACGGGTCGCAGGCCGTCATCTGGGCCGTCGGGCCTGTCAACTCGCGGCACACGTCCTACACTCGCTCAGCTGAGAGGTAAGGAGGGATGCAGGCCAGAGGGAGGGAGGAGAGGTCCGACACGGGGAGAGAGGAGAGGGGGGAGGAGGGAAAGAGGAGAGGAAGGGGAGAGGAAGGGAAGGGGAGAGAGGGAAGGAGAGGAAAGGAGAGGAGGAGAAAGGAGGGAGAGAGTAGAGAAAGGGAAGGGGAGAGAGGAAAAGGGAGGAGAGGAGGGAGAGAGGAAGGGAGGAGGAGAAAAGGAAGGAGAAGGAGAGAGGGAGTAGGAGAGAGGAACGGAGAAGAGGGAGAGGGGAAGGGAGGAGGGGGTGGGAAGGAGAAAGGAATGGAGGGAGGAAGTGGGTGGAGAGAGGAACTGTATGGAGGGAAGGGAGGAGGTCGTCGTCTGGGCCGTCGGGGAGAGGAACACGTCCTATCACTCTCTCAGGCTGGAGGGAAGGAGGAAGGAGGGAAGAGGGGGATAGAAGGAAGGAGGAAGGGATAGGGTGGGGAGGGGTGGGGGTGGAAGGGGGTTGATTTTTGGAGGGAAAACAAAACTCTTTCTTTGCTTCCAATTCACAATCATCTTTTGTATAGCTAGTTATTTTTCTTTTACCTAAACACCCTTTCATCTATACGATTAAAGCAAAGAATAAAGAGGAAAGAAAGGGAAAAACGAGAATCATAGTTTTCTTTATACAAAAAAAATCGAAAGAAGGCTATAATCTTAATGTTTTATCTATGCAAAATAAAGCAAAAATATAGACAAAAAATAAAGATTAGAAAAAAATCTGTAATCCTGTTTCTACTTTATATCGGATATCGATTTATTACTTATATTATCAAGTCGCATATTCATGATCAGACACTGTCTTAACTTTAAAAAATCTATAATCTTGTTTCTGGTTTATACTGTTTGTCGATTCATTTCTAAATATTTTCGTCGCTTATTCATCATCAGACACTGCCTTAGTTTACGAAAAAAATTAAATAGAATAGATAAAAAAATATTTAATCTATACTCCCGTTTCCCTCCTTCCTCCCGCTTAGCTGTACAAGAAAAAGAAAAAATCTAATCCCGTTTCCCTCGTCGCTCCCGCAGGCGACATGTTCATCGACTTCGGGAGGACGCCCAAGTGGAACTGCCCGCTGCCGGAGGAGCAGGGAGCCGGCGGAGGCCTCGTGTCCGGCCCCGCCACGCCCCCGCCCGCGCCGCCCACCAACAACGCCTGGTATATCCCGCCCGTGCCCTGCTACGAGCCCGCCGACGGAGTGTTCTACGCGCAGATCGGCCCGTCGGGAGGACAGAGCGGCTACAACGCCATCACCGGTGAGGCTCCGACGGTGGGGGGAGGGAGGAGGGGGAGGGGCGCCATTTTGAATCGGAAGTGGCGGTTGGATTCTGAAACTCGTGAGATTATTTTCTTTTTATATTTTATTTTGTGTATCCTCTTTTCCATTTTGTTTTATTAATCATGTTTGGTCTTATTTTGATTATTGATTTTTGTTCATTGGTATGATATTGATAATCGCAAATGATATAAAGATATGCAATTGATTAGAATGATAGTAATGAGCAAAAGAGAATTACAGTACTGAGAATTTTTTTTTCAAATATATATAACTGTGATGATGACAGAAAACCGATAATCACTGATGAAATAGAATGTAATAATTGAAAACACAAAGATAACGAAAAGATGGAATATTAATTACCTTCAATATTAATAGATTTAAAAATTCCATACGTAGAAAAAGTATGAATGAAAATGAATAACTCCACATTGCAGAAATCTGTAATTAACTCCCCGTGATATTTTCATCATCAAAATCACGCATTGCAGAGCTTGCAACCTGAGATTATTCATTTGAATTCATACCTTTTTAACAAACACGTCAAAGATTTCAAATAAAATACGTTGTTTAATTCAGGAAAGTAGATCTTTTTACACAAGTCAATCAAATATCAAATAAGTCAGTCATATATACACAGCTCTTGCATCTAATGAAGAAAAACGCAGAATTTTGTACCAAACATTGTTCCATAATTGTGATGTGTTCATAAGCTCAATTTTTTTAAGTTGTGGTTGGAATTTCGAAGTGAATGATATTTGAATATTTTGGCTTCCCCTTTTGTGATTTTATTGCTATTTATAGATTTCTGTTTTGCGGCAGGCGTCTGCTCTTCCAGTTTGCGGTTTTGATTTTTCTTGTATTTTTTCCGTTCGTGTCGAGTCTTCTTGTTATTTGAATGGTGTCTACAATTGCCATTGTTGTTTTTGTCCACGTAGGTATTTATTGTAGCTTTGTCCTTGTGCCAGAATTCACAATAACAACTTTAATGATAACAATAAGTCGTGCTGTCACCCTTAGTTTAAGTAGATTTTTCTTGGTATATTTATTACTGTTATATTTTTATTGTATATTTTTGTTGAGATATTTCTTAGTTATATTTTTATTGTATATTTTTATTGGTATATTTATTACTGTTACGTGTCCCTGACCTGTTGGTGACCGCCATTCTTCGCCTCCAAATATTTGCTCTTGAGGTAATTTAATCGTCATCAGGAGGCTATCGAGCTCTCTCTCTCCCTTCCCCTCTCCTCCCCTCATTCTCTCTCTTCTCCTCATCCCCTCCCTTCCCCTCTCACCATCCCCTACCCCCCATCACTCACCATTCCCATCTACGTCTCGTCTCCTTCACTTTCCCATCTCCCTTCTCATTCCCCTTCCTATTCCCCTCCCTCGTTCCCCTTCCTTCCCCTCTTACTCCCCTATCCTCCCACCCCCACCCCCACCCAGCACCTACTTCCTTTCCCTCCGCCTATCCCCCCCTTTTCTTCCCTCTCCCTATCCCACCGCGCTAATTCAACCTCTCCCCCGCTTCCCCTCCGTCTCCCTTTCCCCACCTGACGCTCTCCTCACGCCTCTCCCCCACCTCCTCACCTCAACCTCCCTCACTCTCTCTTCCTCTCTCCTCTCCCGTCCCCCTCCCCTCCTTCTCCCCTCTTCACTCCCCCTCTCTCTCCCTCGTCCTACCCTCACCCCTCCTTCCCCTCTCCCCCTCATCCCTCTCCCCTCCCCTTCCCTCCCTCACTCCTCCCCTCAGCCCCTCACCCTCCCTTCTCCCCTCCCTCCCCCCTCACCCCATCCTCCACCCTCTCTCTTCCTCCTCCCTCCCTCCCTCCTTTACCCCATCCTTCCACCCATTCCCCCCCTCCCCTTCCCATCATCCTCCCCTCTCACCCCCATCCCTCTCCCCCTCACCCTCACCCCTCACCCTCCCTCTCTCCTCCCCACTCCCCTCTCCCCCTCTCACCCCTCCCCCCCCCCCCCGCCACCTAACGCCCTCCCTCCCCCGCAGGCCACGTGGGCTGGGGCGTGGCGTGGTACATCAACGGCCTCCTGATTCCCGAGATCAACGTGGTGCGCGGCAAGACCTACACCTTCGTGGTCGAGGGCGGCTACGACCCCGAGCGACCCGCCCGCTACCACCCGTTCTACATCACTGACGACCCCGAGGGAGGCTACGAGTTCAAGACGCCGGCTGAGCGATCGGTGGGTGGCGGTGGTTCGCTTTGTGTTTTTTTTTTTTTTTTTTTTTTTTTTGCGTTATTCTGTTTTGTTTTCTTGTTGTTGTTTTTTTATTTGTTGGTTGGATTATTTAATGTCTTTTGTCTCTCGTTTTTTTTTCTTTTCTTTTTTTCTTTTTTTTACGTCTTTTGTCTCTTTTGTTTTCTTCATAGTATGTTTCGCTTCTTTTTCATTATTAGTCTTTTGTTTCTCTGATATTTCGTTTTTTTCGGTTTTACTTTTGTGCGAATTCTTTCATTCTCGTGTATTTGTTTTTCCTCTTCCTTTTTTGTGGCCTTATTCTTCCGTCTTTCCCTCCTCTTCTTCTCTCCTCTTCCTTCCCATTCCTTTCTCCCCTCGGCAGTCTTCGTTTTCTTGGTTCTCTTCTATCTCCTCTTCTCTCTTTTTTGTTGTACTTTTACCTCCCCCTTTTTCATTATCTTTCTCATCCCGTCTCTCTTATTCTCTCTTTTTATTATTCTCATTCTTTTCTTCCGCTTTTCCTTATATTCTTTTCCCATTTTTTTTCATCCCTTTCCTTTCATCCTCCATTCATCATTCTTCATTTTCTCCTTCTCATCTTCTTCCCCACTTACCACCGTTCTCCTCATCTCTCCCCCTTCTGCTTTATCCACTTTTTATGTATCTCCATATTTCTTTAGATTATCCTTTACCCCTCCATTCGTTTCCCTTCTTTCCTTCTGCCTTATTAACTTTTTCTTTTCTTTATTTTCTTTATTCTTTAGATGAATCACCTCTCCTCCTTATCTCTTTCCTCCCCTCTTTCTTATTTTTTCCCCCTCCTCATTCTCCTCCCCTCTTCGTTACTCCTTTTCTCACCTTATTCTCCCATCTCTAATTTATCTTTCCTTCCTCGTCTTCCTCCTCCTTACGCCTTTCCTCCTGTCTTTCTTACCCCTTTCCCCTCTTCTTTATATTCTTCTCCCCTCTTCCCTTGTATCTTTCCTTCCCTCTTCCTTAACCCTTTCCCCTCTTCCTTACCCCTTTTTCCTCCACCTTATATACCTTTCCCTCCCTTTTTTCCTTTCCCAGTTTCTTAATTTTGTTTTGGAGAGCGCCCCAAGTTTTCAGATTACGTGGAAAGCCCGAAGAAAAAAAATCGCAGGAATTTTAATCATTTGTCAAAGTTCTCCGTGACATTTTGAAGACCCAAACATTCTCCGGTGTTATTTTGAAGGTAACGAGACAGTTTGTGTGTGATGATCATGTCGTAGGATGAATGTAATAATGTTCTTATGAACAGAATGTTGAGGAGTCGTATTTTTCATGTTCATGCAGCATGTAGCGACATCTTTTTAATGTCCATAAAGCAGATACTGAAATGTTATCGTGTTATAAGAGTATGATCAATACTCATGTAAGAAATACTTGTCTTTGTGTATCGGAGACGAATTCCCTCAAGAAAGGCACAAGAATATCAAAACTTCAAGTGTAATCTATCTCTGACACATGAGGATAACCAGCTCAAAATTAGTCAGACGATACATAGGATATATAACTTAAACCCCCCAAAAAAGCGTAGGTTTATGAAAAATACTTTGCTCGTTTCCCTTTACCATGAATACTAGGGAGTTCTCAAAGCCGTCGGTGATAATTCATCAAAATTTTTAAAATATGCAGAACTATTCGTGTTTCACCGGCGCGACAACAGAGGAAGCCTCGAACTTTATTGTTAATCCTCTGTGAACGTCTCCTACTTCGTTATAACTACGGAACTTTCTGTTTTATCCCATCACCCTGAGAGAGAGAGAGAGAGAGAGAGAGAGAGAGAGAGAGAGAGAGAGAGAGAGAGAGAGAGAGAGAGAGAGAGAGAGAGAGAGAGAGAGAGAGAGAGAGAGAGAGAGAGAGAGAGAGAGAGAGAGAGAGAGAGAGAGAGAGAGAGAGAGAGAAAGAGACAGCGAAAAACAGAAAGGAAGAAAAAAGAAAAAAGAACCCCAAGTCCCCCCTCCCCTCCCCTCCCCCTCAAACCCAACCCCCCATAAGCCTCCCCCTCTCCCCCCGCAGCGCACGCGCGTGTTTGCGGGCGTGGGGCAGGACCGCGACGGCGTGCCGGTGCCCACGGCGTACGGGCGCCTGTGCGAGTGGACCGAGAACCCGAACCAGCCCGCCGACGCCTTCGAGTCCTTCGGCGCCTACCAGAGGACGCTCCAGCTGGACTGCCAGGAGGGGCAGCCCGGGATCCTGCAGTGGACGCCCGACGCCGCCACGCCCGACACCGTCTTCTACCAGGTACGCCCGCCGCGCGCTGCCCTCTGGTATGGTTTTTACTTCTCTGTTTATTTAGTTTTAGTTTTTTCCATTCTCTTCATAGCTTTTTGTATTTTTTCCATCCTTTCCATAGCGTTCTTTTATCATCATGTGGACCTCCAAGTCGGTTTGTTTATTCATTGGTGCTATGAAACTTCTTATAATGTTTTTTATTATTAATTCTCGTCTTGTAACAGATACATTTATTGATAATATCTTACTGCTTTGTGTTTTCTTAATTGTGTTTTCTTTCCTATTTGCATCTACTGGCCATGGTAATGCTAGTAATAATCATAGGGATAGAAACAATAATTATAATGATACTGACAATAGTAGTAATAAGAATGATGATAATAATTATGATTAAATTTCCAGTAATCATCAATAGCATCCACAAAGTGATGTCTTCCAATTTTTCTCTCTTTTTATTATTCTGTGATCAATTTCCCGTCAAACCGCCTTCCATGGCCGGAGGGAAGCGAGAGACAATTTCCGGTTCTTTTTTTCTTCTACTTCTTAGTAATTAAACATCCATCAGAGTGGCGGTGTTCTATGTCGTTTTTCTCTATACGACAGTGTTTTTCTTTATGCGATTTTTTTCTATATACATTTTTTACACCGTGTTTTGTTTTTGTTTTTGTTTTTTTTCTATATACTTTTTTCCATCGTGTTTTGTTTTTTGTTTTTTTTTGTTTTTCATACATTTTTTCCACGTGTTTTGTTTTTTTTTTTTTTATATACATTTTTCCACCGTGTTTTTTGTTTTGTTTTTTTTTTTCTATATACATTTTTTCCCACCGTGTTTTGTTTTTTGTTTTTTCTATATACATTTTTTCACCGTGTTTTTTTTTTCTATATACATTTTTTTACGCGTTTTGCTTGTTTGTCTTGTTGTCATATGGTTCAGCGTCATTATACTTGTGTTCTTCGCTCATCTGTTCGTGGCCTTGCGTCAGTTATTTGTGTGTCTGAGTTTGTTTTGGGGGGTTTATTGTATGTTTCGCTTCTCCAGACCACGATTATAATCGATTAATGATAACTTCCATCTCCCATCCCTCACCTCCCTTTCCCTTCTATCCCCCCCCCCAATACATCCCCCTCAACCTCTTCTCCCCTTTCTCCCCCCCTCCCTCCCTCCCTCCCCCCTCCCCCTCCCTCCCTCCCCCCTCCTCCCTCCCTCCCTCCTCCCTCCTCTCTCTCTCTCTCTCCCTCCCTCCTCCCTCCTCCTCCCTCCTCCCTCCCTCCCTCCCTCCCTCCCTCTCTCTCTCCTTCTCTCTCTCTCTCTCTCTCTCTCTCTCCTCTCTTCTCTCTCTCCCTTCCCTCCTCCCTCACGCTCTCCCTCCTCCTCTCTCTCTCTCTTCTCTTCTCTCTCTCTCTCTCTCTCTCTCCTCTTCTCTCCCTCCCTCCCTCCTCCTCCCTCCCTCCCTCCCTCCCTCCTCCCTCCCTCCCCCCTCCCCCCCCTCCCCCTCCCTCCCTCCCTCCCTCCCTCCCTCCCTCCTCCCTCCCTCCCCTCCCTCCTCCCTCCCTCCCTCCCTCCCTCCCTCCCCCCCCTCCTTCCTCGTTCTCCCCCGCAGTGCTACACCCACCGCTACCTGGGCTGGAAGATCAACGTGGTGGACGCGTGCGACTTCGAGCCCCTGCAGGCGGCGGGCACGGCGGGGCAGCCGTGGTGGTGCCAAGCCCGCTGGAAGGTACGCCCTAAACTCACCCTCCTCCCTTCCTGTGTTGTCCGTTCGAGTCGTTGTGTTCCTCGTTCTGTTCCTCGGTTCTTCACGTCGTTCCTTTTTGTTCCGTTTCGCTCTTCATTTCTATTTTTTTTTCTTACTTTCTTTCATTTCGTTTCTCGTTCACGGTATTCCCCTTTACTTTAATTCCTCTCTTTTTCTGTTTTTTTTCTCAATTGCGTTCTTGGGTTCGTTCGTTCCTTGTTCCATTCCGTTCCGTTCCGTTCCGTTCTTTATTCACTTTTTCTCGTTTACTTTCCTCGTTCCCGTATTCCTTCCATTTCCTCCATTATTCTATTCTTTCATTCCTCCCTTTGCCTCCTTCTCCTCACTCCTTCCTTCGTAAGTTTCCCACCTTCATTCCCTCTTCCTCACTCCTTCTCCCCTTCTCTCTCCTTCTTCCTCTCCTCTCATCACCCTTTCTCCTCTCCCGTATTTCTCCTTTCTCTGCATTTCCGAAGAACGTCTTTTAAGAGGAGGAACGAGGAGACAGATGTTAGAAAATGAGAACAATTACAAAAAAGAGAAATGAAAAAAATGGATTTTTTCAGATTTTGGCGAGTTTTAAGGTATTTTTATTTTTTCCTTTTTTTTCTTTCTTCGTGACCTGTCCCTTTCCCCGCCAAAAGTTGTTTAATAGAATGAAATGGCAGAGGTTGCTCGGCTAAGGTTCATGCAATTGCAAAAGTTGGAAAACATCGAGAGATGGTAATGATGATGCAACAGTATTACCTTAAGTTCTTTGCTGGTTTAGTTCTCTCCTTTTCCTATTTTCCGGCAGAAGAATTTTATTTTTTGGTTTCTTTTACTTTCCAACTTTTATTTTAGGTCTGTGACCCTTTCACGCTAAATGATAATATACATATGTAATAAAATGGCTTATTTTAGGCAACCCCTTAAAAAAAAGTGATTATATTGAGTTAGTTTTTAAGTCTCCATAGTTTATAAATTTAGAAAGGCGGCTGAAATCTGAGCTTAATTTAAAAAAGGGATCTTGTTATGATTATTTAATATTTTTTTGTCAATATTCCAAGACGATCTCTCTCTCTACTCTCTCTCTCTCTCTCTCTCTCTCTCTCTCTCTCTCTCTCTCTCTCTCTCTCTCTCTCTCTCTCTCTCTCTCTCTTCTCTCCTCTCTCTCTCTCTTACTCTCTCTTCTCTCTCTCTTCTCTCTCTCTCTCTCTACTCTCTCTCCTCTCTCTTTCTCTCTCTCTCTTTCTCTCTCTCTCTTTCTCTCTCTCTCTTCTTCTCTCTCTAACTCACATACACACACAAAATTCACGCTTCAACAATCTTCTTTCCTCCTTCCTATAAGGTCTTACAACTTGGAATTAAAAACGATGTTGAGTGAAGATAAGGTTTCAAATACTGATTTGCAGATTTTATTTTCTTACTGTCAAAATTAAGCTCCGTTTCTTGGCTGGCTCATGTACACCTGTGGACTTACATGTGTCTGTATGTGTGAATCGGTGTGTATGCACGTGTGTGTATGCACGTGTGTGCTTGCACGTGTGTGTATGCACGTGTGTGTATTATGCACGCGTGTGTTTGCACGTGTGTGTATGTACATGTGTGTGAGAGTATGTATGTGTGCGTGGAATCCTCATTAGCCAGTCTATCCTCAGGCAACTTTTTCCCCTTTTTTAACTGTAAAAGGTTGTTTCTATCTGTGATTTGTGATTTTGTATTTGTGTCACATTTCATTTTCTTCCACGAACTACTCAAAGCAAAACAAAGAAAGGAAGAAGAAGAAGGAACAAGTTCTTTCGTTCTTTCATAACTTTACTGTGTGTTCGGGGAGGATTTGGATCCCAGAGCCACACCAACAACAAAGTTCTTGGGAAAAACTTTCTTTTAATACGTTTTATCTCTCTGTTGCCAGGAATGGGCTGGAGGTTTTTCAAATAGAATATGTCATTTGATTTCCAAAAGATATTCAGTTTTTTATTTACACATTCTATTCGAAAAATCAAAGATACACCTGTATTTTTATTCATTTATTATTATTTGCGTTTTTTTTCCTCCATCCCATCACCTTGCAAATATATATATATTTCTGTTGTTTGGATTAATATAAAATTTGTTATCAGTTATATGCATTTTCTACTGAAATTTAAGAAGATAAATTATATTTTATGTCTTCTCCTTGTGTATTTCTCTCTGTAACGTTTTAATTTTGTTTTCCTTTTTTATCACAAATAATGTCTTGTCCCCCTCTGTATTTTTACATCATATATATATATACATTGTAAGATTATCTACTCATCTTTTTTTGTACATTTGGTGCTTGTTAGCTTGTGTGTCTCTCTAAGAAATCGTTGGGTGAAGGACAACCCTCCCTTCCGTTCTGTGTTTTATTCTACCCTCGCTGCATAACACGGCTGCAACATCTCTTGTCATGGCTGCAACACCTCCACAGCAGTTTGCAATACTCTACCTCACCTCTCCTCTTCCTCCTCCTCCTTTTCCTTCTCCTTCTTCTCTCCCTCCTCGCCCCTCCTTCTCCTCCTCCTCTTGCTCACCCTTCTTCCTCTTTCTCCCCCTCCTCCTCCTCCTCCTCCTCCTCCTCCGCCTCCTCCTCCTCCTCCTCCTAACCCTTCCTCACCCCTCCTCCTTCTCACCCCTCCTCCTTCTCACCCTCCTCCTTCTCATCCCTCCTCCTCCTCTTCTCCTCCCCCTCCTCCTCTCCTCCTCCTCCTCCTCCTCCTCCTCCTCCTCCTCCTAACCCTTCCTCACCCCTCTTCCTCCTCTTCACTCCTCCTCCTCTTCACTCCTCCTCCTCTTCACCTCTCCCCCTCCCCCTCCCTTATCTTTTTACATCGAGTACAATCATTAAGACACACACACACACACACACACACACACACACACACACACACACACACACACACACACACACACACACACACACACACACACACACACACACACACACACACACACACATACGTACGCACAGTTCCGTATTGCTTTTTGAGATGAATCTGGTCTTGAATAAAGCCAAATCAGAACACAAGAATTACTATTGCTAATTTTCACACACGTGGTTAGCAGTTACACAGAAAATGGGAATCGCTAATTTGGTATGGTAGCCATAACTAAAATAAAAAGACTCAGTGCTTTTATACACAAGTACATTTTAAGAGAATGTGAACAGCTGTTTTGGAAAAATGCTTAGTTATTGCATCAAGCTTATAACAAATATACAGGAAGTAATGAAATATACACCTTATGGACCCAGAGTATATCAAAGAAAATAAATACAATATACATCATACAAGATTCTTGTCACATTTTAGAGGTGGTACCAAAGTTCTCGCTAAACCAAAAAAATATATGCATTTATATAGGAAATCGAACTTTAATTTACATACTGAAAAAAACTAATAATATATGAAAAAAGATAAAATAATTGACTCAAGAAAGTATAGCTGGAACTGCCCCCGTCAAAGACACACCATTTTCCCGACATGACTTTCCTCAGACATGACTTGTATTTCCTGGAACTCTTTACGATGAACTTGACTTGGCTTTCCTAGGAAGCTCTGACTGACTGCACCTTTTCCCTCATGCCTGTGTGTTGGACTTTAAGAGACTTGCTTTCCGCATGACTGATTTTAATTTAAGATTTTGTGCAATGGGAATTTTTGCACGTCGAGAGCGCGGCGAGGGACGAGCATGGCTAAGCGTTCCAATAATATCCCGCCACGTGTCTTGCTGGTATCTTCTTATACTTGTAAAAAAAAATGAACTGATTCTTGCTATCTCTTCCATTTACCATTCTAATTCCCATATGAGATCTTTGACCTATCGTCACAGATTAAGATCCAGTGTCCCTCAACTCTCTCCTCTTCAATATGTGAGTAAAGTGTGACACTCTTTTAAAACCTCCTTCGCCAACACCGACACTGATCCAGCCGGAGTAAGTATTCAGCAGTTCCCTCCCAGTGTCTCCACTTCCATTTAAGATTTTGCTGCTCGGAACAGAACTCTTGATTTTACATACCGTAGATTTTCAGGATATTTTTTCCCGATTTTCAGAATATTAAAGCACTCTACAGTAAATTAGTTGCATGATGAATGTAATGTTGAAGATTTTGCGTGGAGACAGTTGCAACATCCTAGCAAAGATTAAATTCGATATTACTTCCGTCTTCTTTCACTGTTTGAACGAATATTATTTTCTTGATGAACTGTCAAATTATCTGTCTTCTGTTTACTGTCACTTCCTTTTATGTATGTCGTCTAAATTATTTCATGTAATAATTTGCTTATCATATTCGTAAGTGCGTTTAAGTGCACATATTTGTACATCCCTTATTCCCCTTGGAATCTAGATGTTCATCTGCAAATTTTCAGATAGCCTTCGCCTAGTTTCAGACCATCTTTCATTAGTTCTTGATCAATTTATAAGATTTGCATTGATTCAGCTCCCACGAAACTTCTTTCGCTTAGCACTGTTCGTTCGCGCTGACCCGGCCTGCATTACAGACTACGACTACTATGACTACTCTGACGAGCGCCAGACAGGAGACGCGCGCGTGGGCGGCGCCACCCACTCCGAGACTCAGCGCTTGCCTCAGGGCTTCAACCGCATTCCTGGAGGAGGCTCGAGGAAGCCCTCCGCCAGACCCAAGACCCCGCCAGCCAGACCCGGAGGCCAGAGGTTTCCCGGAGACTTTTCCTTCCCCAACTTCCCCAACGACTTCCCCGCGGGCTTCGACAGCTTCCCCTTTGACATCGGGGGCTTCGGCGACGGAGACCAGGGCCGCTTCCCAGAGCAGCCCGCCCGCCTACGCCCCCGCCCCGCCCGGCCAACGGGGGGCCCCGCCCTTCCAACCGCCCCCCGAAGTTGCCCCTGGGAGCACCAGGCTTCACCTTCCCGAAGCTCCCCAGCCTGAAGAGCCCGACCAGCGTGGTCAACGCCAGTGCCTTCGCCGGTCTCAGCGAAGACCCCACGGGGTTCTTCGGCCCCCAGGAGGGCGACCTGACCTTCCCTAACTTCGATGAGATCCCAAGCATCCCTTGAGGAACCAATTTCCCGACTTGCTGAGACCTCCGTCAGCTCGGATGCCGACCGAAGTGGCTCAAAGCCGTCCTTCCCAGACCCCGCCCTTCCCCTCCCCTGAGCCCCAGCCTTCCCCCTCCTCCTCCTCCTCTTGCCCTCGCCCACGCCTTCCCCTTCATCCTTGCCTTCAACCCTGCCTTCCTCCGCGTCCACAGCCTCCCGCCCCTCTCCTTCACCTTCCTTCCTCCACCTCCTCCACCTCCACCTCCTCCACCTCCTCCACCTCCTCCACCCTCCCTCCACCTCACCCAAGCAGCCCGCAGCCCCACAGTCCACAACAGCAATAGAATCGACGCCCTCCGTGTCGCTCCCGCCCCACCACTCCACCACGCCCTCCAGACAGACGCCCTCCACGAGACCAACCCAAGAGGTAACTAGACCAACTCGACGCCCTTTGCCCCAGAGACAGACCACGCCGACAAGACCGTCCCCGCCCCAGAGACAGTCCTCGCCTCCTCTACAAACGACGACGACGCAGCGACAGCCTCCCTCAGCGAGACCCCCCCAGCCCCCCCGCAGGAAGCCCGTGATCGTCATGGCCGAGCGCGTATGGCCCACGACCTCCCCCGCCAGACCCACAGGCCCTCCCAGGCGACCGCCCCAAGGGTCTCCTCAGCCTCCTCGACGCCCTCAGGGACCTCCGCAACGACCCACTGAGCCTGTAGGACCCCCAAGGCGTCCCCTCGGGCCGCTGCAGCGACCCCAGCAACCCCGAGAGCCCGAGGTCATCACCGCCCCGTCTCTCCCTCGCCTTCCCGGCCAGATTCCCTCGGAGGTTCGGCTTCCGCTTCCCAAGAGACCCTTGCGAATCGTCACCACCGGGGCCCCGCCTCAGGAGACCAGCCTCGGGGACTCCTTCGCCCAGAACTTCGGCTTCGATCCTTCGTCGATCGTGTACGAGAACGACTTCCGCCCCGTCAGGCAACAGGGCGCCTCCCCCGTCCTGGCCTTTGAGGTGTCCTCTTCTGACATCCAGCCAGTGAGGGTGAACCCAAGGCCGCCCGTGCCGCACTTCCGACGACGCCCTGCGGGTCCGCGGACCTCTGGCCACGTTAGGTTTGCTCACAGACACATTGAGGTCGACGACAACGACGACAACAATGACAATGACTATTCAATCAGCCTTAACAAGGGGAAGCTTCCTAACGATGTTTTAGAGCCCGTTTTTCACCCCTCAGTGCCCTTTAGCGAGAGCCTTGAACCACCTCCGATGCCTCTGCCAGTGCCAATGGTGCCTGTTGTCCCCCTGCTCGGGGGTGCCGCCTCTAACAGCCCTCTAAAACCCCGTAATCCGCCCCAAAAGCAGCATTTGCCAAGGCGCCCTAACAACCCTCAACAGCAACTGCCAGGGCGCCCTAACAGACCCCCGCAGCCCGTGGGTGTTAACCGCCTTGGGAGACCACAGAACATGCCACAAGGAAGACCACAGAACATGCTACAGAGGAGGCCGCAGGGCCGGCCACAGGCCACGCCGAGGCCGAGCATACGACGCATAATTTCCCACGTTAGCCTCCCCGACAACCACCCCATCCCCGTCCCGCAGTTCGTGGGCCCGCAGGCCCTCAGCCCCATCATCATCAGCCTCCCTGTATCCAAAGATGGCGAGGACATGGTCGTGGCGGAGTCGGCTCAGGTGTTCACGTCCGACGGCACCCGACTGGCGCCCGAGTCCCTGCCGACGCCGCCCGAGCTCACCACCAGACGCCGCGTCACGGGGGCCTCCATCACCAACCGCCCGCAGGTGGTGCCCTTCCGAGGCGAGCTTCCGCCCCCCATCCCGGACAGAGTGCCGCACTTGCCGCAGTTCTCGCCGCAGACGCGACCGCAGAGCCGGAAGACCACGGTGCCGCCGCCGCCGCTGCCGGCCGACCTCTCGCCCGAGATGATCCTCCCGCAGCAGCAGGACGACCCGAGAAGGAGAGTCGCCCCCGGCCTGCTCCGCCACCAGGGGCTGTCGGCTGACATCGGCCAGAACCGAATCCTGGCCGTGTCCGACTTCCCGACGACTGCCGCGGCCTACGCCCCGACGCGCCCGCCCACGACGCCCCGCACGGCCGCCTCCGCGTCAGAAGCCAGCAACAGGACGAAGCTTACAATCCTGAAGGATGTCTGGGCCATCCTCACGCGCGACAACCCGAGCCTCCGACCGGAGCACCCGAGGGACGACGCCCACCCCGACCACGCCCACGACCACCTCGACCGACAGGAGCGGCGGCGGAGGGACGCGACGGAACCCTTGAGCGCCGCCGACCCTCCGGCCGAAGCCTCGGTCGGCGCCGCCACGCGCGCCTCGCCGATTCCCATCTGCTCCGTCTTAATCGCCTTGCTCGCTCTGGCAAGGTAGAGCCGCAAGATCTGTCGCCGCTGTATTCCCTGGCCCGGTAATTAATCTATTCAGATGTAAAGAGTTTGATCATAAGGCATTTCTGTTCAGGACTGAAGCTCAATAGAAATTACGTTAATTTCCCTTGTGCTTTGGGAATCTAAATACTTCACCACGATTCTCGCCCTCTCGCCACGCCCTTGATCACAAAAATAGCTTGCATTTCATAGATATTCACGCCCACACGAAGGCCGTTATTTGGCAATTTCCAACGCGACCACAAAGCTTAATTCATGTAAGAAAGCTTCGTAAATACAAATACTAAAAAAAGTTATTTCAGAAACAGAATTGCAGTTTAAGCGGCAAGTGCGAGGTGGCAAGTCGTGTGCTGAATGTAGTGGGTTTTGGTTTTCCTGGGTTTGTACATAGTTCTTTTTTTTGGTTTACTGTACTACATGAAAAGGTCATTTGATATTTATAGCCTTCATGTGTTGTTAAGAAGTTTTAGACATTACAGATTTATCACATAAATCTTATTTTTAATGAAAGGGTAATTTGCACAATTAATCGATAAAGAGGGACTGAAAACCCCGATTTTGGGAAATTGTCTGTCAAGATAAAAATTGTATCCAGCCCCTGATATATGTAATGTAAATATCTTCGACTGATTGTGTGTGTTTGTGTGTATATACGGTGTTTGGTGGGAATCTGTCTTAAACCAAAAAAAAATCACTTTCTGTGAATAAACTATTTGTAAAACCATGTTTGTTTTTTATTCTCAACCAACCTCCCGATCCTTCATTTTATCCTTTGAAATACATTTTCTTAATGTAACGTACTTGATTCAGTTGATAATTCTGTACCAAAGTTTCGAGTATTCTTATTATACTTTATATGCGTATGGTTCGATAGCGTAATGCATCTTTAAATACTATCGGTATTATTAAATGATAAGTATTTTCTTCTTTCTCAATTTCAACACTGCAATCCTTACATCATTTGTGTTTCATGCAATGTTAAGACTTCAAAATCAGAAGTCGAAAGGGATGGTGAATGCAATTTTCCTTTTCTCGATTTTAACTGGATTATAATAACGAAGGAAAACTAAAATTAGTATTCGGAGTAAACCGAAAAAATATCTATCAATCTTTCTATCCGAAGACCATACAATACATGAATTAGTAGAAAATTCACAGTGAAGTTCCCTAAATTATTTGACATTAAAATCTCCGGAGTACATAAATGAAGCAATTACAAATCAACACAAAATGAGTAACGAATATATATACATACATACATACATAACATAATATTATTCAAAACCGGAAAATCAAGAAATACAGACAAGTTAGGCCCCGTCCACATAAGCGACTTTTGACCCGTAAATCATGCTTCTGTGCTGGCTAAGTAGATATATGTATGAGCATATATAGTGCTTTTATAAACTTGGATCTATGCCTGTCGTCCATGTGCTGTTGTCCAAACGACGACGGTGTAGCACTCAGAGCCTGGCAGTGACAGAGCTGAACGACATAGATCGCAGGACATGTAAGAATATAGCGTTGTGTATTGCCACAGTAATATATCATCATCATCATGGGGGCTGACGCCGACGGGGGCGCATAGCCGCATCCACCCTTCGCTTCCACCTACGAGGATCCCTCATGGCTAGACGCCAGGCAGGGACTCGGCCTATCTCTAGTTCTTCACGGCAGGTTTGGTCGATCTGCCCAAGCCATGACTTCCTCGGTCGTCCCACAGGCCTCCTCCACCCAGGGTTGTCTCGAATAGAGACAACCTGATGGGCAGGATCATCCTGAGGAAAGCGAGCCAGGTGGCCGTATAGCCTGAGTTGGCGATGTAAGAATATAGCGTTGTGTATTGCCACAGTAATGTGCACAAAGATAAAAACGACAAGACATAACTACATATGATGTAAAGAACGCCTACAAAGAAAAGTCTTAGGAATTCGTGTGGCAATATTCCGGGAATTGAACTATAGACCAGAAGTAGAATAGCGTCACCTGCACGAGAATGACCCCCACCTCGACGGCCAGCAGGCAAAACCCCTCGATGCAACGCTAAACTTTAGGGAAATCTTCACGAAGCTTTGGCCGCCGTTTCCATTTCTGACCCGGCACGCAGTAGATACTGGAATATATAATTCCATCCCCAAGGGCATGCAGAAAGTAAATAAGTAGATTCAGATCTTTTACCCAAATGATAAAAGAATAGAGGTCACCAAAAAGGAACTAGAATTTACAATGGCAAAGAGCAGCGCCAGTGTTTTGAATAATGCGTGTCAATGCATGAACTTGAATTTAAAAGATAAATCTAGACTGACTTCAAACTAGGATTATTAATATTACTTCGGAAAAAAATCATACGAAAAACACAATTTCCCGTAATTGATATTGAAATAGAAACTGAAAGAAAAATCTGAATGATAATAGCAATAAAGAGTCGCCACACAAAATAATGTTAATCAGAGGTATTGCATATAAACAAAAATATATTGCCCATAACGTTAAAAGGATAAAGATAAATCTAAATGGACAAAAGAATTATAAGATCCAAAGATAGTCCTATTTGTGAAATCCATAAACTCTCATAGGAAGTGCTTGCCAAAGATAAAAGTTTTAACAAATTTTAAAGTATCAGATTATACCGTTCTTGTGATAAAGATATTAAGGAAATATGTGAATCCAAAAACTGGGCAAAGATGTGTGGGGAGTAGGGTTTAGATCCTGAAGTATGGACAACCATACACAGACTTGGGTATAATATCATGAAGACCCAGCGTCGGAAGTGAAGAAATTGCAGAGAGCAAAGGTTCCTTCCGCCTCGGTCGCCCCGCCGGCCGGACGCCACTCCACGGCGTTTCTATGGCAAAAAGCGCCGAGGAACTCACGGGCCGCGCAGGCTCTTCAGGCGAAATGTTGAGCCCGCAGGCTGCCCGTCTGCAGGCGCGGTGGCGGTGCTTCTTGAACAAAAATTCTACGATTTCCAGAGAAAAGCCGAGGATGTTTCATGCCCTTCCGCTAGAGGCCGGGAACACGATTTTTTACCTGTATATATGTATGTATATATGTATATATGTATATATGTATATATATATATATGTATATGTATGTATATATGTATGTATATGTATATATGTATATATGTATGATATATGTATGTATATATGTATGTATATATGTATGTATATGTATGTATATATGTATATATATGTATATATGTATGTATATATGCATATATGTATGTATATATGTATGTATATATGCATATATGTATGTATATATGTATATATATATATATGTATTATGTATGTATATATGTATGTATATATGTATTATTGTATATGTATGTATATATATGTATGTATATATGTATGTATATATGTATGTATTATGTATATGTATATATGTATATATATAATGTATATATGTATATATATGTATATATATATGTGTGTGTGTGTATGTATATGTATGTATATATGTATGTATATATGTATATATGTATATATGTATGTATATATGTATATATGTATGTATATATGTATATATATGTATATATGTATGTATATTATATATGTATATATGTATATATGTATGTATATATGCATGTATTATGTATATATATGTATATGTATGTATATATAATGTATGTATATATATGTATGTATATGTATATATGTATATATATATATGTATGTATATATATGTATATGTATATATGGTATGTATATATGTATATGTATGTATATATGTATGTATATATGTATGTATATGTATGTATATATGTATGTATATATGTATGTATATATGTATGTATATATGTATGTATATATGTATATATGTATGTATATATGTATATATGTATTGTATATATGTATATATGTATGTATATATGTATGTTATATGTATATGTATATATGTATGTATATATGTATATATGTATATATGTATGTATATGTATGTATATATGATGTATATATATGTATATATGTATATATGTATGTATATATGTATATATGTATGTATATATGTATATATGTATGTAATATATATGTATATATGTATGTATATGTATGTATATGTATATGTATGTATATATGTTTATGTATGTATATATATATGTATATATGTATGTATATGTATATATGTATGTATATATGTATATATGTATATTATGTATATATGTATATTATGTATATATGTATGTATATATGTATATATGTATGTATTATATGTATATATGTATATATGTATGTATATATGTATGTATATATGTATATATGTATGTATATATGTATATATGTATATATATATGTATATATGTATATATGTATGTATATATGAATATATGTATATGTGTATATGTATATATGTATATATGTATATATATATATATATATATATATATATATGTTGTGTGTGTGTGTGTGTGTGTGTGTGTGTGTTGTGTGTATGTCCGGGGTTTGGTTTAATTTCTGTATGGCTTTTATTCACCCCTTTGTTCTTTTAGTTATCCTTTTTTGGGGAATGGGTCAATCGAGGTTTGAAAGAAAGTATATAACAGATTACTCTGTATTATTCAAAAATAAGATACACGAACAAAACAAAAAAAAAAAAGAATTCCTGAACAAGAATAAGTAGTCTTATTCATTACACAAATACAATTTTCTGTTGTTAAAT